TAATTATTTAAACCCTTTAATGTCCATTGGTCAGTTTGGGCCGTAAATATACCTTTTTACTTTTGGCCAGAATATCTTGAATTTAGAGACGCAATCATGGATGACGCTATATATTTCAATGCCAAATAAATTTTATCATACACTCCGAAAATAGATTCATATTAATGCACACCACTGCAAATAACGTAATCTGAGGAAAAAATAGAAATCGATTTCACCCTGTCACTACAGTGGGTCTAAAACTGACTGTATGTTGAAAGAAATGAAAAATAAAATGGTTGTTTCGATTAATTTGCACAAGGGTGTACTTCATACTTCATATATGCTTCCTTCTTAAGATAAACTGCATATCTGTTGATATTTCGGAGATGACGTTTCGGTTGTTGTACGCTCTGGTCTTCTTCAGGGGATTGGAATTTCAATATGAACACACTATTTCGTCCACGTTGCACGTCTCCTCAAATATCTCCGTTATCTCCTTTTAACTCACCACTGCAGTAGCCAGGTATTGAACTCACAATTCTTTGGATCAAGTCACTGGATCCAACCAACGCTTTTATCTACCGGGTCATGTGTCATTGAGGACATGTGTGTATGAATTTTTGGCACTTATAAATTAATGTCTCAGTAACCATTATTTTTGCAGTCAAGGGTCGCCAAGTACAAAATTTAAAGAGATGGCAGTAATCAACATCAGTCAACACCAGCTGAGTGCCTCTGAGTAATCAGGGCTAAACAAGGGTCTCAACTTCGTGACAATCATCAGGCGGCGACACCATACTTGGACACCATCGAGGAAATAGCCTTGAACATCCCTCAGGCTTGTACAGATGAGCTAAGATGGAAAATTCCAGTCACCTGAAGAAGGCCGGAGCGTACAACGGCGGAAACTTCGTGGATGAGGAAAATAGTCCAAAGAATGTAAATAGTGTCAATAAACGGTATACATACGTTTCAGTAAACATTCCTATATCTAAAATGTTCAATTGATTGTGCGTCACCTTCTGATCTTTCAATGTCCTTCATTCCACCCCCACCTCAACCCCAGAAATGCAGTAATCAACATCAGTCAACATATGCTAAGTGCTTCTGAGGAGTCAGTGCTAAACAAGGGTCTCAACTCCGCCACAACCATCGAGAAGATAGCTTTGAACATCCCTCAGGCTTGAACGGATGAGCTAAGAGGGAACATTCCAGTCACCTGAAGAAGGCCGGAGCGTACAGCGTGGATATTGCCACAAAGATGAGGAAAATTGCCCGAAGAATGCAAATAGTGTCAATAAACGGTATACATACGTTTCAGTAAACATTCCTATTTCAAAAATGTTAAATTACTGTCTACGGCCTTGGTAATCGGAAGTCTTATTAAAGATGTACCTCTATGCAGGATCTAATTAGCGTGCGTTTTAACCCATGACATCCACTCTTAAGCTGGACGTGCTTTTAAACGCTCAGCCACGAGATAACTGGCAGGAAAGTAAAGCACAATTATTCGTTTGAATAAATGCCCATCTCAAGTTAGCAGCTTTCAAATCTTATAATTATTGACTCGAAATTTATTGACTTTGCACTCCAAATGTAAACAAAGTTTATTTTCAGTGTCGTGTCAGAAAATTTTTCTCGTCCGAGTCCATCTTGCCCATTTACAAATCTGTCGTTTGTCCGTACATTGAATACTGCAACCATATCCGGTCTGGTGCTCCTGCTATTCATCTGGAGGTTCTTGACAAAATCCAAACAATGATTTGTAATATACTAGATCCTTAATTGGCATATCGTTTTCAGTCACTTTCTCACAAACGTGGCGTGGCTTCCCTCTGTCTTTTCTACAAATATTTTCTGCTGTGACGAGCTTTCTTCCTTGGCGTCCCGATAACATGAATTGATGCGTGATACGAGATTGGCTTATAGGTTCCACACGTAAATGCAACCGCCACTTCTATTCCAAGAGTTTCTTTTCTCGCACTTCCCGATTCTGAAACTCGCATACGTTTACTTGCTTCCATGAAAATTACAATCTTCAGAAATTTAAATTCAACGTCAATTACCGTTTTCTCTCTTTTTGAATCTCGTTCATCTTTTGTCCTTTCCTCACTCCTTCCTATTCTCATATCTTTTCTCTCACTTTCATTCGCTGTAACCACCTAGGTACCCATGAATTTCATGGCTTGCTTCTTGTGAAATGAATAGAGAGAGAGAGAGAGAGAGAGAAAGAATTAATTGTAGTGTTAATTCTACATGCTTTTCTATTTCATTTAATATTCATCTCTTTTTCATTTTTTTCTTTCTCTTTTACGTTCTTCTTTATTTTACACGTCTTTTCAACGTTTTTCTTCTCATTTGAGAAAAAAATATTTATTAATTTTACGTAGTGTTCTTTTTTTTTCTATTTTGTCGAGCTTCTTATTTTTCCTTCCACGTTTTCACTTTGTTCTTTTTTATTGTTTATTTCTTTTCACCGTTTCTCTCCTATTCTCCCTATTTCTACTCCCCTTTTTTTTTTCTTTTTATCGAAAGATAAATCTGTTTTTTTTTTTCTTACCGGTGCCAGTCTCCACCCTTTCTTTCATGCTTTCACAATAAAAGAATTCCGTGCCAATCAACCTGATTCTCATTCTGCGTCTCAATCACGCGAATCTTGCGCCAAAATGCGTTCATTTCCTCCTTTAAGAAGCGGTCGCACATTTTTATTTCTCCTTAAGAATTTTACCCATGCAATAAGTGCAGCTTAGTTTATTGCCGATAGGAATCTAGTTAGGGTTGGAAGTTGCGAACATCTGTGGTTGATAGCGATTTAAACAATGTAAAAGGCAGTCTCGGTTCGATTTTGATGTTGATACTGATACGACATTTGTAATAGCAACATTCAGGTCGTGGTGAAACTGCTGGTTTGAATCGGTCAGCCGATTATTACAGCGATGCCAATTTTTACTGTTGGAAAAGGTAAAGATAGCTCTTCAAAAGTCAATTAATCTTCGTGTCTATATCTCTGAGATGAGGTATTATTATTACTTGCATTATTTACATTATTCGGACTGTTAACCTCATCTTCATTGCCATATTCACAACGTTCCGGCCTCTATATCTCTGAAATGAGGCATTATGATTATTTGCATTATTTACATTATTCGGACTGTTAACCTCATCTTCATTGCCATATTCACAACGTTCCGGCCTCTATATCTCTGAAATGAGGCATTATGATTATTTGCATTATTTACATTATTCGGACTGTTAACCTCATCTTCATTGCCATATTCACAACGTTCCGGCCTCTATATCTCTGAAATGAGGCATTATGATTATTTGCATTATTTACATTATTCGGACTGTTAACCTCATCTTCATTGCCATATTCACAACGTTCCGGCCTCTATATCTCTGAAATGAGGCATTATGATTATTTGCATTATTTACATTATTCGGACTGTTAACCTCATCTTCATTGCCATATTCACAACGTTTCGGACTCTATATCTCTGAGATGAGGTATTATGATTACTTGGGTCATTTAAATTATTTGGACTGTTATCGTCATCTTCATTGCAAAAATTCACAACGTTTCTGCCCATATCTCTGAAATGAGGCATTATGATTATTTGCATTATTTACATTATTCGGACTGTTAACCTCATCTTCATTGCCATATTCACAACGTTTAGGTCTCTATATCTCTGAGATGAGGTATTATGATTACTTGGATCATTTAAATTATTCGGACTGTTATCCTCATCTTCATTGCAAAAATTCACAACGTTTCTGCCTATATCTCTGAAATGAGGCATTATGATTACTTGCATTATTTACATTGTTCGGACACTTATCCTCATCTTCATTGCCATATTCACAACGTTTCGGCTGTTGTACCATCCGGTCTTTTTCAGGTGATGTGAATTTCGAACCGAACCATTTATTTCGTCCACCGGGGGTAGATTGTTCTAGTTCCACATGTCATGTCTCTTCCGGATGCTTGGTCCAAGCATAGAAATGACTACCATATGAGAAACAGTAATATGGAGAGCTAGAGAAAAGCAATGAATAACAAGAATTTCAATATAAGATCTGGTAAAAAATGTAATCATAATAACAAAAAATTTGCAATATGAGCACTGGTAAAAATGATGCTGAGACTTTTGTTTTATTAGTCCCAAAATTTTTGCACAGATATCCTCAAGTTGGTTAGATCCAGTGACTGGACCCAGTGAGTTGTGAGTTCAGTAGCAAGCTACAACAGTGGCGAACTAAAAACTTGGACAGTTGAGTTAAATAATTGGAAGAAGTATGGCACGTGGAATCAGAACAATCTATTCCGGTGGACGCAATAAAGAGTTCGGTTCGTTGTGAATATGGCAGTGAAGATGAGGATAATCCATCCATTCACTCAAGCCATTTAGGTTGCTATCTGAAATGCTTGATCGAGTGGATGGCTGAACAGTGGGCGAGGTTCTTGGCAAAGTGAGAAACACAGTTAAGAGCTACAGAGTATGGGAAGTTGTGAAGAGCCATGATCACCTATGCCCTGAAAGGACGGGTAAAATGAAGAAGATTATTCAACAACAATTTTTCACAAATCAGTCAATAATATAAAATGACCGAGGAAGAACAACACGAACACAAGAGTAGAAATAACGAAGGTATATTACACGAAATAATAATACAAGATGTGGAAGGTGTTAGTATGACTGTCAGTCTGGTTTGGACTGAACTACTATAGGCTCGGCTCGATTTGGTATCTAGCCCTCCCCCACTCACGAGGGTTGCATGTGGCACAAAGCCGGGTTTAACGTGGGTTTCCCGAGCCCGTAGGCTCGGCCAAAAAATGCCCGTAGAACCCGTTTAAACGGGATCGGGTTGGTCAACCTCCCCGGCGGAGCCTCGTCCGGGTTCCTCTCTGCTCAGAGGCAGAGAGTTCGACCGTCAAGCCGATCTTCTCGGCTTGACGGTCGAACTCTCTTGAGAGGCGTAGTATACATCGTGTTAGGAAGAGTTCTTTTCTGTAC